ACCAAATTTTCAACGTAACATTGTAGATAGTCCTTTTTCGAGCGTTACCGTATGACATATAATCATGCTGAAGGCTCTCTACACAAAGTTTTGGACACATATGAAATTTCGGCTTATTTACCGTGAAGTGTCTGTCGTGAGGCACGATTTTATTTTTAGGTGGACATCAAGTTGCACGTTCATTTTTCATGTCGTTTCAAAGGCATTTTAAAGTTCTAAGATGATATTGCAGATGGCTGTATGGGTTGTTCAGTCTTATCTCCATGATAGATTCGAAACTGAAGTTGAAAGTCGAAAATTCATGGACTTTGGAACCAGAAACAAGTCATTAAAATTCAGTTCAATTCTCCGTCAGATATGGCAAGCTAACCTCAAGCAAATAGCTAAGCCCTTTGTCTTCCTGTCTGGTATCCTAAATCCTCCTAACTGAATCCTCCTATCTGGACGATCGGTGGGAACACTCATTCGTGGTCTATCTTTACTTCAAAACTCTGTTTTTCAGAAAATGACATTGCGAAACCCCATATTCACGGTCAGCTTACGAAATAAGCCTCCCTCTACTGATAAGTGTACTAGTAAAATCCATGATTTCCAATTCTCGAGTTCACCTTCAGTCAAGCGCCGAGGGCAACAAGTGAAACGATGGTAGAATAAGCGAGTTTTTTCCTTTCGGCTCGCTTTCCGACACAGGTAGATGCATTGCTTAGCTATAAATTGAAACGAATGAAGAAAAATGCACTCTAGATGGGGTCTGAGGAAGAAGAGTTCAGGGCGAATAAGTTGCGGTGCTTCAGGGTATAAATTGTCTAACAGAAGAAGCTGAAGCGATTATTTATTGTGATAAACACAGTCCGATCTACCCATAACCAAACCGGAAAACTTAGGGATAACCAGTTCAAATGGAGGCATGGGCCAGAATCGACGCAGGAGATACTGTTTCCCTCATCGGCATTATTATCTGATCGTGAGCAATTTGTAAGATAAATCATAAGATAAAAAAAATTTATTTCCAGTGATAAAACATGGATCAATGTCAGAATTGGTTCTCCCGTCTTCAGTTGGTCTTTGCTGCAAGAAAGAAGTTGTATCTATTTGATTGATGCAAACTGATAAAATGTTCAGACTCACGGCACTTGGTAGAGTGCTGACAGTGTCTAAACTGCGCAGTAGTGTATTCACGTCCCGATTCACAACCGTACCACTGGGCATCAGCCTGCATTTTGAAAAAAGCATAGACTCAACGGAATCCACCTAAATTTGTTCAAAAAGGATTCAAT